CCTGGCTCCCCTATTACAACACACTCAACATGCTTCTGTTAAGGAATCGCTAACTTTGACCAGGGGATTGACCCTCAAACCTTTCACTTCTTCACACACTGCCCCCTCTCCTCTCCTCTCCTCCTACAGCCCTCCTCTACTGGCCAGTTGGTAATGCCTTCCCCTCACTCTCCAGTTCTCTAGTGGTGTCCTTTTGTTTTTGGGGGAGAACCTATCATCCCATGAACATCAGGGGTGACCCACAGCACACCACCTTCGCGTTCCAGAACTCCCCTGTGCGGACTGCACTTTCAGAGCCTGGCTGCTCTGAAAAGCTGCTCTGCAGTTTCACTGTGCCCATGCTGAACATGCATAGTGCTCAGTATGTTCTGCATTCCCACATGTGTGCATTTTTCCTCCACTATAGACAGTTACATCCTTTAATGCACTATGCAAACTGCACTTTCTGTCACAATGTACCTTATCGCTTAAATCACACTCCTGTGATTTAAATGGTTTTCCTTCTAAAAGTAAAACTTTGTATTTTGCCTAATGTAATTCTTACCACTTACCTGGGATAAAAATGCAGCCAAGTAAATAAAAATGTACAGAATTTTAATCACATAAACACAGCACAGTCACTGCACCGACTGTCCATATCTTTGTGGATCATGAATACTTGCTTCAGCTCCCCTTTGTAGTCTTCTCTGTACAGGACTGAAAGTGTTCAGTTCCTTCAGCCTGTTAGTATAGGGCATTTCCCTTTTACTTTATCTGTGTGCTCCTGTCTGGACTGATTCCAGAGATATTTATTTTTTATTTATTTATCCGGCGATATTTATTTTTTACCATAATCAAAAATGGACACAATATCCTTAAGGGGTCTTACTAATGCATTTTACAATTTTAACATGCCTTCATTTTAATTTCACACTTTTGACTATATTACCCTCATTTTGCCTTTTTTACTGCTTCCCCACACTGACTGGAAAATATAAAAAAGTTCATTCATACCTTGCCTATACTAGCTCAGCTTTTCCCATTTTGTATTTATAGGTGATGTTTCTGCTACCTGCATGCAAAACCCTGTACTTGTCTACATTAAACATCATCTGCTGGGTGCTGGCCCTGTCTTGAACTTCTTCTAAATCATTTGGAATTAAATGCAACTACAGTGTGTGTTAATCCCCCTAATTTGTATCATCTACAAACTTGACTAGTATACTTATAGTTCAAGGAGGCAGCTGCGTCAGCATGCGTAAGGCTTCAAAGGAACAAGTGAAGGTTTATTCCATGCTGAAAAGAGAAAAGAAACTATTTT